AGGGAGAGGGGGGGGGGGGGGGGGAGAGAAAGAGATCCGGAGGCAAAAAAAAGCAGAAGAACCGAAATCTGAGCCAAACTGTAATCTCGGGGCACCAAGCAAGATTAAACGGGGCACTTGTTGCCGCTTTTCAACTCTTAGATTACACGTCTTTTTTTTTTTCTTCAAAGGGGGCGGGAGGGAATCGAACAAACACCTTACAGCAGCACTTTAGTGTGATGTCTGTTAAAAGGCAGACCGCGGGAGGGGCCGCATCAAAAAGGGAAACGTTTCGCGACGGAACTACAAAGGGATTTAACCGGGTTAGGGCGTGAAATGCGTCTGTTAGTCCCGTCTGGTCCTGCCCTGGGCGCTCTTATCCTAGCAGCAGCAAACACGCGCCCCCCCCCCCCGGCCAAGAAGGCTCCTCCCGTCCCCTAACTCAAGGCAAACTTTAGCCGGCGCCTCGGGAGAACGCGAAGCCATCCAACGGCCCTCCCCCTCCGCAAGGTGTTGCGGAAGCGCCTCTTCTCCCTCGCCCGTTACCGACACGTCCCTCCTCTAGGCGCGCAAAAGCCTCCTTTGCCCACGCGCGCCGTCCCGGACGCACGCCCTTCACCGGCCACCTTTCAGGGAAGCCCTCTCTCTTGCCTCGTGCGGCTCGCCTCGCCTCCCCCTCCCAGCCACCCACCCACCCACCGTCCCTCCCCAGGGAAAACTCCTCCTCTCCTCCGCAAAGCCCGTCCACGACTCACTTCCAAGGCGGAGGCTGGAGACGCGCGCAGTGACAAGAGGGCGCCCGGCACCGCAGACCGCAGGCGTTACCACCGACTTGCGTGTGCGTGGAAGAGAGCAAACTCTAAGCCGAAGCCCTCTCGCCCCAAGCTCTTGTTTGCACTTCCGCCCCTTTCTTTGCTCCTCCCCGCTCCGGCTCAGGAGGGACGGCGGGGTTGGCTCCAACCGAGAGCAGAGGGGGGAGGCGGGGGCAGCGGGCTACCTTCCGGCGCTGGCGCGCGGCTCGCCCTCCTAGGAGCCGAAGGCGTTCCGAGGCGCGCTGCCCGCAATAAGAACGGAACTGCAGTCTGAAAAAGAACGGAGAAATGAAACCTTTAGACGCGGTTTCATGGAAGGCTATCCAAGCCGTGTACAAATCAAGTGAGTTAACCGCGTTTACAGGCTAAAATTTCCAAGTCACGGATTCTGGTGAAATGAGCAGAGTCTAAGAGCAATATCCGCCTCTCCAAATCGATTTCGACATTATTTTATTCCCCAATAAATACACACGACAGCACGATCGATGTGTGTGTTTGCATATACACGCGCAACAAGGTCCTGCATGCTATTGTTACTCTGGATTATTGCCATCTTCGTTGCCATCTGGCGGTCGTCTGGATTTTCTCAGGCGCAACGTTCATTTGTTTCGGTTACCACACTAGGTAGAACATTTATTTATTTATTGTGTTTGGTGGGTTCTGGTGTTCCCCAAGCTTGGATTTTTTCTTGCAGACGTTTCATTACCAGACTGACAAGAACAAGTATGAAACCAAGCTCAGAGAACACAAAGAAACCAGAAATCCAGCCCTGAGCTATGTGTATTCTTCAAGTATTGTGTTTGTTTATTAAGTTTAATCTGAAGACTCTGGGGTGTGTATAGCAAAAAAAAAAAAAGAGAGCAAAAATGACATACTGTAGTAAAATCCAGTGAAAAAATCAAAACATATCCCTTTGATCAATCAGTCCAGGCCCACCATCTCCTTGAAATGAAACAGATTTATGCAATTCCTAGAATGTCTCTCTAGGGCAGGGTTCCCCAGAGTGGTCAATATTGACCTCCAAGGGTCAATGGGAGTATCTATTATTAGTAGTAATCCTATTAGTTGAAGTAGTATTAAATTACCTTCATATAATAAATTTTGGGGGTCAACGAACAATCTGAAACTTGATGAAGGGGTCAATGAGCTGAAGAGTTTGGGGACCCCTGCCTAAGGAGGAGATATTGCAGAGTAGGGGTTATTACACAGAAGTCACAGTATTTCAGAATGCAACTATTGACATCGCCAAATTTGGGGCTGAGTTCGCTCATTGAGTAAATTGTGATTTGGGTTGAATGTGATTTGATGAATAAGCCACAAGGTTTACACATTGTGCTAAGCCATAAACTTTGCTTCGTTGATGACAGATCTAACAAAATCCACCCAAGTTACAGCTTTACACTATACAGGGACTCAAAGTACGGATACTGCTCACAATTTGCAGTAGTAGTTGATTGTCAAAGCTGAAGACTGAGCAACAGGTGGGCTCCAGCAGACCAGGACAAACCATCACTGCCGATCAGTTTATTTAAGGTGAGTAGAATTGTCCATGTTCTCTGCTTAATGCAGCATTCTAGAGATGCAAGCCTGGTCCTGAATCTGCTGACAAAAGTTTTGTTTGAACCAGATTAGATTGCCAGCCTTAAAAAATAACTTCCTAGCATGCTTGGTCACGTCTGCCTTGCTTAACCACCCATCATGACATACATATTCATCATCTCCTGGCCTGAATGAAATTAATTCACTTGTCTGCAGCAAAAAAAGCCTTATTCTCTCTGCTCCCAAGGACATCAGTCTCTGGCCTATCCACATAGCTCTCGCAGGAATGAGCAGAGGCTACCTTGGCCTTTCTTTGTAACAAGATCCTTGCCTTCCTCTTTTATGATGTCCATTCAGTGCTCCCAGTTATGTCCTTGAAGATCAAACCAGGCATACAGAAAACTTCTGCCTGAACATGCCTGACTTATAGTTGATTCATACAGGGAAATAACTGCTTAATTAGGGCTGTCAAATCTCTGCTGCAAT